CCATAATAAGCCTGTAATATGCCACGCGACGAAAGACATGACATGCTTCTATGGAGAGGCCCTAGAATGTGGATTAGGTGAATTGGACATGGCCAAGAGGGAGCAACGGCCACAACATGGGACTCTGACTATCACGAGCTCCAAATCTAAGGGCATTTGGAGCAACAAGAATTTGCCAATAAGTAGGAAGGACAACAAGAGGCTGCCATGCAAGAGGAAATTGGCAACCTAAAGCTTCTAAGCAAGAGGATGACCAAACAGGGCCTTTGAACAAGGTGGAAATTCCCAAGCAACAAATGTGCTGACCAAAAGCTTCTGAGGAGTGAGTGGAAGGCAAAATGGCAATTGCTATTGCCATGTAGATGGTTGGGAGCTTATTAAGATTGAACTCTAAAAAAACTGAGATGAACAAACAACTAGAAGCTTAGAAAGTGGGTAATAGAGTTCAGCTGTAAAAATTTGATATTTACAATTGCGATAATTTAGTAATCAAAATTATAAACTAAGAACTAAACATATCAGAATTAGTGATGGAAATAACCAAAAGTCACTTGGAAAAAATGGGGATATTTAGTAATTGAAATTGTTGCTGAAAGTGATGCTGGAATCAATAAGAAAAATGGCAAAAAGTTAAAGTTTACAATTAACAATTGTAATTTTATAATGCACAGGGATGGTGGTCAGAAATGGAACTTGATAATTTCAAAGTATGCTAATTCTTGTTGTGAATAATTTGTAGAAGCTACTAGAAGGGAGCCCATGTTCTTGGGTGAATGGTAAATCCAAAGTAGCTAGTATATAAGGGTCCCAAGGCTATGAACTGACTTGTAATTTTTTCTGGAGTTTGCAGTTGTAATAGTTTTGTTATAAAAACGTGAATTTGGTGGCAAATTATATAGATTTAACAATGTCAGAATAAATTTGTATGCGCTAGGTAAGAGAGCACAATATGCTGAATTAGTAAATGGATAGAAAAGGGATATTTGAATGGTTCTAGAGTAATGACGGGGCATAATATAATTTGTAGCACAAATAGAATTTAATTTAAAAGAAGGTTGAGTAATGAATTGGGAAATGCTTTTGATACATTCTGACTACTTGTGGTCATATTGCATAAGAATTATGAATGGGCATATCAAGCATGTTGTTACGGCTAGAACTGATTGAGTATTATTATTAACTGAGTGCACGAAAAAATGGTGAGGCATTAGGAATTGCATTAAGGATGTTGATGAACGGACGGAGTATAAAGGACAGAACGCTTGTTGTCCTTTTGCCTCCGCTGTAGACCGTTGCCGTGGACTCGAGCGTACAATTCCCGTTCAGGGATCGCCACCCCTCGATCCTGCCTGCCTTTGTCAATGTCTAATAATAATAGAATTCAACCGAATTGGATTAGTTCATAGTAGTATTTGAGGTGAGGTGCAGATTGTGTGGATTATGCGCAATATTGGAATGTCATATGGAGTATTCTTAGGATTACATGACAATATTTTTCTGATAAAATTTGATGGGTTTTGAGCCAACCTACGTCAGACGGGAGGTGAGAGGTTTTGAATCGGTGGAAAACTGATGTTAAATGACTTAGAAATCTATTAGGCAGCTGCATTGACTTCCCTCTGTACGATCTGAATTAATCTAAGCTAAGCCAAGAAGATTCTCTAATACCTCTGCAGTATGAGGAAGCGTTTTGAGTGATTTGTAGTGTGTTGCAGCTGGTTTCTTGTCTCGGTGTGATGAGGGGCAGTGTTGTGAGGGGGAAAGGGATGGGCAGCTGGGCGTATGAAGGCTTCGGGCCATATTTGCATCGTGAGGAACGCCTTGCAAGGTGACCACGTGCTATACCAAGAGCCGCCCAAACGGTGCAAATCTGTGGGGATAATGTGTGCTATTTCCCAAGTGCTTTGAGGTCACCCTGAATATATGTGGCGTAAGAGACATTGCAACCCTGCAATCTAGCATTTGCAATTAGCTACACTATGTTCGAGTTATGTGTTTAACGTTGTCGACTAACCCACAAGCATCTGAACTAGCCCCTAAAACCTTTCTTGGGTTTTTGGGATATTGTCAATATGTTAGGTGCGGTTCAGAGCCGTTGTCATGCCAGGCAAGGAGGCGGAGCACTAGCAGCTGCCCTACGACATCTTTGCTGCTTATAGTTTGATTGCCTAGAGGTATGAAAGAAGTTTCTTGGTCAACGACCAGTGCACAATAGTAGCCAAATTTTGGGGAGTTTCTTGAGGCGCTCGCAATAGGCTAGACAAATTTTCAAGAGCTTTAATCGTGGAGAGGAGAGTCGTGACGTTTGCTAGCGTTGGGTGTCAACTGCAAAATGAGGGATCGGACGGTTGGCTATGAGGGGACGTTTTGACCGGTCTCAAATATGACCTATGATGAGACACCACCTGCGAAGCAATGCCCTATGACCCTACCTAGAAGACCTACAAAAGAGAGGCCTGGGGATTTCTTTGGAGCCCGAATTGGTCAACCATTAGCTCAAAAAGACGTAAAGAAAGTTAGGGATATATCCAACTATATATCCAACTATATCAGTTATATAGCTAGAGAGAGTATTTTAAAGTTGTGGTTGGTGAAGAGAGCGATTGTCAGCGTGGTCCCCCCTTGGCCGCGTCCAGGTACCCTGGCCCGTGCTCTAGGGCCTCTCGGGTGGAAGCGTGGGCGTCCTCGGCCGGACGGCGTATCCTGGGCTCTCTCTGGCCCGTGGGTGACGGCCGCTCCGTGCGGTCCCGTCCGAGGTGCGCGGCTGCTGCACTCGAGGAGGCAGGGAGGCTCCAGAACAATCGATCGCTACAATCAGCGCCGCCGTTTGACGCTCTTACGTGTGGCGGCCAAATAATGAAAGTCATTGTTTCCATTAAGAAACTCCATTTTGGCCAAACCTGTTTTCCGGCTAAAGGCCTCGCTACGCTCAGCCCTTATGCCGAAGTCGTTCCGACCACCTCCGCTTCGCTCCGCATACGGCCTCCACGACTTTGACAACGGGCCGAGCTCCACTCGGCAGAACAAGAAACCAATGGGTTGCTACCACATTACCACAACGACTCTTCAATGAGCGAATAAAAAGAGGAAGACAAAAAGAGGCAGCTTCTAGGAGTGCTGAAAAGCAGTTTTTTTAAAAGCAAAGTTCAGGAGGGAAATTAGGTTGAGGTGATTGTTTGCATGCAAGAGGCTGTGGTGAATAAGAAAAAGCTATGAAAAAGTCGCCAAGGAGGTTCATTGGCAGCTGCACAATCCTAGGAATTGTGGGATACTCTGATGACTTGCTGGTGCTAAGGAAGGAAACTTTAAAGGAGCTAAAAGAGTCTTCACCTGCAAAATTGAAGCTCGAGAGGGCAATTCTATAGGTTCTTCAGAATTTCTGGCAGATTGTTGGTCCCCTTGTTGCCATCAATTTTTTGGCATTTTCTCCATTGAGAATCTACTAGCTTGAGAGGGAGTTCTTGGACAATGTGAGTGATGACCTAAAAAGGTGGGTGTCTCATGGTACTGGACCCCTTGAGATCATAAAGGTTGAACTATGGCCCCTTAGGAATTATGTCAACATTATATGGTAAGCTGGACTAGAGAGATGTCGTCAGGGTCGTCAGGAGAGTGCTATGATTGGGTAACCAGTGATTCAGTCCGTTGAGGTGCTTATTCATTGGAAGCACATTGTGTCTATTTTCTTGCCAGGAGTCTTAGTGGGTTGCCTCATTTTGGTTAGAGCCCTTATTATTGGGCTTTGGATTGGATGCCTATTGTAAAATACAAATGACAAGGCATGACTCACCAGCCCATAGGGCAGCCACAAAAGGAGGCCTTTCCACACAAGCACAATTATCAAGTTAACCGAACACCCTCATGCTCACACACGGTCACTCCCAGGTAGTACCTGGCAGGTACGGGAAGCAAGGCCGTAACCAGATGCATTACATGATGAGCGTATTAGTCTAAATACCAGTCACCGAAATAATGTTCATTACCCAGTTGCATTGTCCCATATACATTCACCATAACACCATGTTCACACATTCACTTCTTTCCATTAAAAATGCCATATAGCACACATAATATTTTAATTGTTCCCTTGCCCTCACAATAATGATTGCCAAGTTCTTCTTGTAGCATGAGACAAGCTCACCAGAAAAATGATAACCATATCGGTACGCATGCAAGAACCTATTAAAGCATTGAAGCACGATTAGTGCACATGATAAAGTTCAGGGAGATATACATTCTCCATATTGAGCAACATTCTTAATATCATGTGGCCACAATGCTTTTGTTGCTTCTGATGTTCGGCTGTGCCGTGCCTCCTTGGCAATGTTATTTCCTCGTAGAGGCAAATGACCAGACGGGATGGACAAGTCGATCACAACATGAACTCTGCAACATTACCAATTCCTGGGTTTTCAACACTAGCACTGAGACATTTCAGTCATTGCCCAAATATTTCACCAAAACCATCAAAACAATAGATGGAAATGGCACGAACGTCCAGTGTCAGTTGGTCCCCTTCGGCGTCGCCCGCTGGCGCGAAGGGGCCGAGTGGGCCACGGAAGGACCGAAGGCGCAGCGAAACCACACACACCCCTCCCCTACCACTGACAAACAATGACTTGGGATTCCCACGCCCTCAGCCCCACACACACCCCGTACCGCTGCCGGCCCCGTCAGAGTGACCTGGACCCCACCAAGCAGACAGCCCTGCACCCCGCATCCTGCCAGCTTCGTCCCGGTTATTCACCCCTGACGGTGCGCCCTCCTCCAATGTACCTCGCTCAAAAAGCCCCAAACCGCCATGCGCCATGCGCCCCTCCGGCCACGGCAGCCAAGGTGAAGAATCATAGGGATTGCCGGAAGCGGCCTTATCGGCACTTCCCGAGCCTTCCAGCCCAGTCCCCCGTCCCCCAGCCCCCACCCTGGCAACCGCAGCACCGCGGCGCGACCCCCGCCATCCCTGCCCCTGGCCCGCCACCTGCCGGCGGCCGATCTGCGCAATGAACAAGCTGCAGTCCATGGAGGACCTGCTGAACCGCAAGTCGCTGTTCGTGCGCGACATCGACCCGTCCATCCCGAAGTTTGACGTCAAGAGCGACCTGACCCCGGTGTGCCCCAAGGACGTGGGGCTGGTGTGCGTGCCCGTGGACCCCAACACCCAAGCTACCCTGGGCTACGCCTACCTCAACTTCAAGACCAGCCCAGACGGTAACGCACCCGGGCCCCCGCCCCCCCAACCCCACCCCACACCCCACTTCTCAACCCATCGCTCTTTGAAGTCGATCGACGCGCCGATTGGAGGGAGGGGTCCCACTCGAAGGGCAGCATGGGACCCTGCTGTCTGGCGATTGGTTTTCCAGCCCGTTTCCTTTTGGGGGGGGGGTTGACGCCCACCGGCGTCGCTGCAGTTTCCTTGCGGCCATCCGCCCCGGCGGGCGCCTTGGGCCGTGGCTTGCTGCGGGCGGTCTTCATCAGCTTGGGGGAGCACGCAAGATTGCGCCGGCCTCCCTATGTGCTCCCCGGGTGAGATGAGCTCTCGCGGCGTTGTGCGCGTTAATGGGACGTCGGTTTGAGTCCCTGTGGCCCCGGTGCTGATCGCTCCGCGAAGGTGGGAACGCCCGTGCGACGCTTCCTGGGCAATTGGAGACGTCATCGATGGATGGGCGGGCGCTGGTGATCGCTGACGGGCTGCCGCTGCCTGTGTGTGGCGCTGCAGCCAAGGAGGCGCTCAGGGCGTACCGGTTCCAGCTGAAGGTGGGCGGCAAGCCCGTGGGGATAAACTACTCGGTGTCCAACAAAGACCGGCAGAAGATAATGGGGCCCTGGGGGTATCGACTTTCAATTATTGTGAAGGTGAGGGGGAGGTCGATGGTTTCCGGCCGGGGAATCGAACCCTGCCTTGGTCGGGGTTGGCACCCTTTTTGGTGCTGTCGACCCCGAGGAGGGCACGTCGGCAGCCCCGGTTCCTCATCTGGCGTCGCGGAAGGCAGGATTATGACGCGGGTGCGCGCGGATTGCCGGACGCGGAAGGGGGGCTGGCGCGGTGTGTGACGGAGCTTGGCTGCCTCAGTTGCAAGTGCGCAAGGGCAAATTCCCGCCTCTTCCTCTTGATTTCGATCGGAATCTCGTCCAGGTGGCTGTCCATCTGCCCCTGGGCGCGTCGGCTGTCGTTTCGCCGGTCGTCGCCGCTTCATGGGACCCCCTGACCTTCGCTTTGCTCCCCGCCCGCCGAGATGACAGTTGGCTGCCGGCCCGCGTCGGGACCCTCTTGATCTTGCCGATGGGTGCTGTGCGCGTTCGTTCGGATGGATCACAGAGTCCGGAACCGGGCTTGCAACCTGTGGGTGCTCGTGTGTCGGAAGGTGTTGCAAAACGGGAAAAATCGCCGCAAAGGGACAAAGGCGCTGTTTCGATTTGAAACTTGAGAGTGGTTTTTGAGGTTGACCAGCGCGCGTCAGTGCAGCGTCAGCTTGCGATCACCCCAGTGTGATACCCAGGTGCGGATAACAGGCACCAATCGCACGAGATGGATCCCAAGCGTGCATGCTCTGTAGCATGACCCTAACCTGCCACCTCTATTTTCCGGTAGGAAGGGATGAGCAATCAGGGAGCACGCTGGTCCCCATTTTCTGTGTTCTGGGTCCGCTCCACAAAACTGGCCGCACGTGTGCGCATACCTGCCTGTAGAGGGTAGTTGTGTCCCTGTTCACAATGCTGTGCTGCAAGGATGCTGTGCTGTGCTGTCTTTAAATTTCTTCCAAGCCAAGCTGTCTTGAATGTGAACAGTGAAAGTGATTGTGAAAATATTTGCGAAAATAATTGTGTGTGTGAACGCAGAACTTGAGCTCCGAAGCGACAGAAAGAATGCTGTTCAACAAATTTGAAGCATACGGAGAAGTTTTTAGGTGTAGAGTTGGGACGGCAGACTATGGAGCAACATACGGCCTTGTGCAGTACATTGAGGAGCGGTCTGTGATAAGAGCAGTTAAAGAGGCACACAAAGCAGCATGGCTGTCCAGTGTCATAGAGGTGGAAAGGCATGAGAAAGCAGGGATGGTTTACCAGTCCAGGTTGCCGCCAACCATGCCTAGAGCAGAACCACGACCACAGCTCAGGTATGCTTCAGTGCGTTGCAGACCATGTGCATGTGTGTGCATGTGGATGTGGTGCAAACCGCAAAGTCATGTTTTCAGGTCTGCATGTGTGCTAGCACTGTGTGAATGCAGTGTGGTGGAAGGATAAATGCGATTGATTCCTTCTGAAGTCAAGCTCCAGACAGGGCCAGCCTGCAGTGGAAGATGTTGGCCAACACGCAGGCAAGCCTGTTGAGACACAGGATCACCTGTTGCGAGCATGACCAGCATCACAGACAGACAATTGCTACAGAATCAGTGTATGCTTGAAGGTTGTGTGGTGCTGCAATGGCATGCTGCAGTGCAATGTACTGCTCTGCACATCCAGGCTCTGCACCCAACCACGGTCCCTGCAGCTTTAGGCCATCAATGTGTGCTGCTCTCTATCAATTTGTGCATAATCTGCAGGTTTGAATTGCCCCAGTATGTTTGTCACCCGCCTGAAGAACGATTCATGTTGAGAATCCCATCCTTGTTGTATTTCTTTGTCTACTTCTTTGTCTACTTCTTTGTATTTTTTTGACTTGTGCCTTCTTGCTTTGCTTGTTGAGTATGTCCTTCATTGATTTTCATGCATTTTGCTGCTTGCTTTTACGTTCTGCCTTTGTGTCATCACTTACAGTCCTAGAGAGTACACCAGGCAAGGGTCCCCGGCCCCCAGTTATGCTTCATTGGTCTCTCAAGGCTCCCAAGCTTGCCAAGAAACCAATGTGAGGTCATCAGCTGATGTGACACCCACCGCTATGTCTGACAAACACTCTCCATTCTACGATTCAAATGGCTCGAGCAGCATGAGGCCTTCCCGCAGCGAAGATGCGAAAAACAACAAGACATCTGCATATTTCGATTCAAATGGTTCAAACAGCATGAGAATTCCACATCAAGATGCAGATGAAGACAGGACATCTGCATACTTCGATGATGGTTCAATCAGCATGACAGGCTTGCAGCAGGAAGATGGTTCTTCACACTATAGCTATGGAAGACGCCATGATTCATTGGGACCATATGTGCCGTCGCCTCAAACTCCAGTCGTCTCACCACAACCTTCACCAAGAAATGTTGATAGATCGCCGTCCACGCCAAGACCTGCACAATCAGTGCCAAATGGAGTTGAAAGACAACCTTTTGTTGACAGTGACACTGTTGATGAGGCCATTCCCAACGGCGTGGGGGTGATGAGTTTCATGGCTGGAAGGAGGAATAGAATGTATGAGGTTGAATCTTCTAGAAGGGCTCCCGCTCCACAACGGACGCCCACTCCCCTTGCGCAAGCGCCAGCTGTGCCTGACAGAAAGACAGGGGAGCATGGACAAATGACGCTGTCGAGTGTGCTGCAGTACTTATCAGACAATGCAGAAAACGTTGTCAGGAGTATGATGCTTTGGGAAAAGTTGACAGGCGGTCAGATGGATCAAGGCTTTCTGTGCTGTCCAATAACACAGGTGAGCTTTGTATGCCACCATGTACTGTGCTTTCATATTAGTTTTGCTCTCTATGTTGCCATCCTCTGCTCTGCGACCATCTTTGCGTGCTGCACATAGTCTGAGAAGGCCGGCACTGCCCATTGCTGGGGGCCGGCATGTAAAATATTGCAGCAGTTGAAATTGGACTGTGGATATGTCGTGTCCACTATGTAATATGCGGACACAATACGCTCAGTGTTTAGTGATTGACTTGTGCACTTTAGCCAAACGGATGGTGGGAGCACCGCATGGATGTATCCAAGACATCCTTTGCAGTTAAATGGCTACATTTCTTCCCGTTATGCATGCTTGTGGATGTCGTTCCTGTGCTGAAGATTTAACGAAGCCAGCTTTGGACATGCTGTTCCACAGGAAATGTTTAGAGATCCAGTCCTGGCATCAGATGGTAACACTTATGAGAGGTCGGCGATAACAGAGTGGCTCTTCACCAAAAACAGCAACACATCTCCCTTGACTGGCGCCCCACTGCCCAGCAAAGAGTTGGTGCCCAACCATCTGGTGGCCAAAATCGTTGAAGAACTGAGGTGAAGCTCGGGCTGAGCCCCACACACCGCACACAGAGCGAGGACAGGTTCGGAGTGCGTTGTGCAACCAAGAGAGCAGAACACGTGGCTTGAGGTGTGCGATTTTGGAAATGTGTTCAAGGGGTCGGTTCCAAATGGGCAATTTGGCCAAGAGTGCTGTAGAATTTGTTGAACGAAAGGCCACGGTCAGAGACATGCAAGGGAAATGGGCAGATGATTGATTGTGATGGAATGGGACATCGACATGCGGATATTTGTGATGCACGGGTGGCAGTGGATGTTGTGCACAGGGGTGGTGATGGATTTTGATTTGCACTGACGTAGGTTAATGGACGTCTATGCCGGGGCATTGTGACGGGCATCGTTTGCTGCAGTGGCAGCCTTGTCCCCTGCAGTCGCAAACTCGGGGACTGGGGCTGTTCGAATGCTAGAATAATGCACCAGGACCACAAGGTGGTCCGGGAGCAAGGCAGACGGAGATTCGCCGTAAATCTTTTACCACGTATTGTGGAATGAACGACCAGGACATAGAAGAATCTGGAATCTATTGGAACTGGTTTGTATCATGTTAGAAGCTTCCACTGAGGTCGCTGCCTCTTGCCGGTTGTCGTTGGATTGTGCACGACGCTGTGCAAGGAGGCTAACTTGGACTGCAGCTGTATTGGGCTCCAGGCTTCGTCGCGATCTAGGGAGCAGGGTGTTGTGACTTGACACGCCACGTGTGTTGTTAGGGCCGGCGCTCAGAGCAGCTTTTGCGCAGGCGGCCTGGTGGCATCCTGTGCGAGATGGGTACATGTGCGCCATTGACGGCATTCAGGGGCAGCGATGGCATAAATGATGTGATTGGTTGCCACTGTGTGGGACGTCATTTGTTGCACTATTGCAACCGTTGGTGCTCCGCTGCCGTTGTATGGTTTTGTCACATGTCGGCACGACAATAGTCTGGTGCGCCCACGGTTTGCTGGGGGATGAGGCTGGGGGAGGTCTCTCCATTGTAGAAGGTCGGACGCGGTCGATTGTGATGTGAAATTCCGGGTATCTTGCTGCGACTGGCCCTGCAAGTGTGTCCTACGTTGTAAAAAAGTTCAAACCAATATCGACATATAACCAATATCGGGCATTCCATGTCTGTCACGCGCTCGGGCCAGCACACCTGACGTCCTTTTCCTGCCGGTAGCAGCTGCTGATTGGGACGTGACGCGATGATGGTTTGAGCCCTCTTTGGTTGCATTTGTCACTGCGTGGCGGGATGTTTTCCTCGCGCCTGTGAGGAAACTTGTAGCACTGTCCAAAATGTTCACAGTCACCATATCTGTCGCTCTTTTTCGCAGGCAACGTGATGTGAACGACCTTTAAGAAAGAGTGAAATGGCGACCGCTGTGCGAGTCCCAGACCCATCAGGAAAAAAAACATTGAACTGAGTGTGGGCCTCCTGAGTCCAAACATATGCAGGCTTCAGTCTGGAGGAGCCGAAGCTTTGGGAGCGGGCTCACGTGCTGTGCTCTGAGTGAATTCCAATGGGGATAACCTGAAACTGTAGTGAGGCGTTTCTGGCATGGCAGGCGCAACCGCGCATCGACCCCATGTGTGAATAAGATCAATTTGCGGATCCCAAGAGTTCCAAGCTTGGCTTCATGTCTTGACCGCTTTGTGCTTTCGTACACAGCACAGTTTGAGAATCCCAAAGCGAAGCCAGGGTTGAAAAAGAAGCTGCGGGTTGGCAAGCTTGAGTTTCCGCCACGTACATCCGTCGCCTGACACACAATTTGATGCCAATGTTGCAATCCGTGTCTTGAAAGCTGTGAGCTGTTGAGAAGGCTCCGTAGGCCCCGTTCGATCCCGTGCGTTCAGGGCGTACAAATAACCGAGTCATCAAGTGGCTTGCGACTAACAGGTTGTGAGTCGCACCTGAGAGATTACGCGATTAAGGGAGTGCCTCGACCCAACACAGTCCATGCCATACACATTCAGAATCTAAATTTCAGAAGCACTCCGCCACCGGGAGACCCAATTTCGTTCTGGTGGGTAGGCTGGACGGAGGGAGACTCCGTAGGCAATGTGGAAGAGGGGCCGGGCATTCCAACCAGTCCAGCGAAACAGAACCGCCAGTCGGAAGCGCCGAGATGCAGGGTCCGACTGCAGAAGGCTTCTCCGGTTGTCGACCACATGTCCATGAAACACCAGCGGTTATTCTACACTTCTGCGTGATAATGCCACTGACAGAAGATAGACATGTGGGCACAGCTTTCGGCATCTTCTGCATGTTCGAATTACCAGCAATCGACCACTGATCTGCCTCCGTCAATTACTTGTTTGTAATCCGATGATTAAATGGTGGCACATGAGAATTTCGTTTCGAGGAATGCCATCAACAATGTCTTTAAATGGCTGTCACCTTATCTCGATGTTCCACATCCAACTTTCCAGTTCTCATGGCTGGAGGTCGGTGGCTGAACGCTGATGTGCAGTGAAACTCAATCCGATTAAGGAAGTAGTTTAAGGAGATGAAAATCTGACACACCAAGACAGCCGCAGCTGCCATGTTGTTCAAGCACATTGTCATGTACTGGCTGATGACTGGTGTACGCATTGACCAGATTGAAATGGCGGGAAGACGGCTGGCTAACAATCAGCTTCAATCTTACTAATTTTGGTGATCATGAGTTGGTGCTATGGGTTGGAGCTGTGGGTCGTTGCCGTAGGTCGATGCTATGGGTCGGTGCTGTGGGGTATCGTTATTGTGAGTGTGTGAAGAATGAGTTCATTACTGCTTTTTGAGTGTGAGTTCTTGTGGGCAAAAAAATAGGCGAGCTCTGGTATTGGAAGAGAGCCCGAGTCTTGTTCGGGACTTTTTTTGGTTTAATTGTAAGACAAGTTGAGTCTTGCCTGGTTGTCCGACCATGCACGGTGAGTGCATTTGAATACCACGTGCAGCAAGGTTACCACAAAAGTCCAACCAAAGAGGTTGGATCTGTCCTGCATTGTGGCCCATCGCTGAGCGCATTCGATTGCGACGAGCGGGATCTCGAAGGAACTTTGACAATGCGCAAATGATATTTGTGCAGATTTGATATTATCAAATCTGTGTGTGCATTGGTATAAAGAAGCATGGGGAATATGGAACAAAGTCACGCAATCATATTGCGTCAAGTTACCAGGTGCACTTTTGGTGTCATTTATACCATCCCAGGGATGACAAACATAGATGGGCAGCGCCGGATGTAGATTTAGGCTCAGCTTAAATTCAGATTTGAATTCGGTCCGGAATTAGATGGAACAATTCATTTGCGAGGCCGTATTTGTGTGGCTCCCTTCTTGCTTTACTTCCAAATTCAACCAGGTGACCATCTGGAAGTTTATCAGTTGCTGCCAAAGTCTTGCAGAGAACAACAAAATACCGCGTACATGGCAGTGCTTTGGACCGTTGCGACTACGGCCCAAAGTTCGAAATCCTCAAGGTCTCGCTGACAAGCACTAAAACGGGTCCCTGGCCGAGCCGCCTGGAGACTAGCAGTGTGCAGTGCAGAGCGAATATATATTGCTGTCGTTTTGTATGCAGGTCAGAGTCATTCCTCAGGAGGCTGAAAACCGTAGAACCATCTTCGAAGTTGGTTCCGCCCCGGAATTTCCGCGGTCTATGCAGGGCGGGGTATTTTAAGGACGCCCTTCGAAGTTCGTTTGGCGTCCATGCAGGATCGCACATCCCTATACCGTCTATTGCCACCATGGCCCTGTCAGGAAAAGTTACACAAGCAGTGCTGCAAAGTACTGAGACTCCTGCCAGCCTACCCCAAACAGGGTTCCAGAAATATTGTGACCGTGGTTTTGACGGCTCTTCGAGCATCTCAGCTCTGGATCGAAAACCCAGTAAGCGACGAATTCCACAATCGCGACCTTTGCAAAAAGGGTCGCCGCGATTGGCGACGTGTTTGCGGGTGCTGAGTCCACCGTAAAAAAGTTTGGAAGAGCACGATCGCCACCTCGTTGCGCAACAACCAAAAGATCGCTGAGACTGGCTGTGCTGGCATCATACCGCAATCAGCTCATCAGGCGCATTTCATGCCACTATGAAGGGCCCCACCGCAACGCATTTTCTCCAGTGCCATCGCAAAAGCGAGAGCACCACCATAGAGACAGTGAGATCCTCGATTACTTCCCTGCATTCTGCACTGTTGTGTTTGGTGGGATTGATGCCGTTTCGGGTGGATCTGTTGCGTGCGCGCAAGGCAGGCCATTAATAAGAGATCTGGGCCGAGCACAGATCTTTTGGCGCACGCAGATATTGCACGACTAAATTTAAGGCACCGGGTGAACTGTTGGCAACAGCGCATCCCAAACACGCAGCTGCGCCGGGAGGCAGACTGCGCATAGTGGACGATGGTGGGAATTTCAATAGATGCTCTGAGCGTTTGCGAATCTCAAAATCCTTGTTGATTGTCCGAATCCTGGCAATTTCAGATGGATTCTCAAAGTTTCCCTGAGTTTGGCACTGCCACCAACAAGCTGTCGTGCGTCTTTCGCCCATTTCTTTCTTTTTTTTTCTTTGGGGGGGGGGGGGGGCCCTAGGCAATGTGCGGTTTCCAAAATCCCTGCCAATTCGAATCACAGGAAGCGGTCTTAAATCCATACATAGTTGCAAAGTACCACACAGAAGCGCAACACCAATTTGATTTGCACAAGGAATTTACAGTTTTTGATCGCCAACACCATCTGGACGTGTAATGAAGAAAACTAAATAATTCCGTTTTGGGTTCTGAGAATGAACACAAGGAATATAACAGCTCTTCCATTGGGGCCTGATTTTATTCTTCACGAACTTCAAGGGTATGCACTATGGCGGGTCAGACGGAAAATACCAGTGTTGGGAATTCCACATCCGTGCTGTTGTCGTCGATGACTCGAATGCCAGGCGGGTTCTTGGGATAACCAAAATACCACAGTACCCAGGATTGGTCCAATACCATAAAGGACGGTACTTGTTGTTGACTACTCCTCGCCGACTCA